TTCAATTCATCATGTTAGCTTTTGCCTGCTCATTAATGAAATAATAGTTGGAAAGGTTGTCCTATTCGATAATCTCTGATCTCACATGTGAATAGTCATTTTCTTTTGGTTTTATTGTAGTAATTTTAAATATATGGGCGAGAATAAAGAGTAGTGCGCGAATAAATACCTAACTATTCAAAGTCTGACATCATTTTTATAGCGGATTGGGAAAAAATGATGTGGTATAAAATTGGAGGAATGGAGGTGTGAAAACTGAGAAAATGAACAGCAACATCTCATTGGTTATCGGTCATAAATCAAAATTTATACGTCATAATTTATTCATCGATCACAAATTTATCAAATTAATAAGTGACATATTATTCATTAGTTACAAATCACATATTTTATATGTCACAAATTTTTTTTTACGGTTACAATTTGATCATCACTCACAAATCAAAAATTGAAATGTCACAATTTATTTATAGCTCACAAATCACAAATATTATAAGTCACAACTTAGTGGATAGTCACAAATTGTCAAATTATCGATCACAAATTAACAATTTTTTAGGTCACACATTTAACAATTTTTTAGGTCACATAATTTTTTTTGTCACAATCTATATTTTTCATTGGTCATAGATTAACTAATTTAATAGTCACAATTAACTAAATAATTTGTGACTACAACTAACACTTGTCACCATCACCGCATCATTCCCTCTAACAGCACCACTGTGGCCGTCGCCGCCAGAACCACCACCACCACCTCGCGACAACAATACCACCACCTTAAACAAATCAACACATCGCGAAAAAATACCACCACGTTGTCGCATCGATCCACCACCACCTCGACAGACCTGTCGCCACCAACATCCCACCAACATCTCAACACCATCACCATCACCAAGATCCACCACCACCACCATTAAAAAAACGACAGCTACCATTACATCCAGTAAAACCTCTGCCTCCAACAAAGTCACCGTCCCCAACATCACAACCTCACCAGATCCAATCACAACCAAATATCACCAAAACCACCACCACTAGAACAAGCACCACAACCACACATCACCATCTCAACAGATCCAGTCGATTGAGAGCACTGTTGCACTATCCAAAATGGGATCCTGTCGATTGTAGCCACAACAACATCATCGCGATGACTGGAAACCACCAACAACATTAGTGTTGTCGAGCAACCTCACCGATCCAACCACAACCACGCATCACCAAAACCACCATTGTTAGAACAACCACCACAATCACACATCACCACCACCTTGCCCGATCTAATCAATGGAGAGCACTGCGGCACTATCAAGAAGCCATCAGCTCTACCGTGAACACCAACACCAGATTGCCCGCGACGAACTACCGATCGCTGATGTGTGCAACAAATTCAAGCGCCGTTCAACGACGAACGAGAAAGTGACGGAGAGAAGAGAGAAGGAAGAAGAAATACAATGCATCTTGTGGAGGTTGGGCTGCCGACGGAGAGGGAGGAGGGTAAAAAGAGAGAGTGGCGGAGAGAAGAGAGAAGGTAGAGAGAGTGACGGAGAGAAAAAGGAGGGAGCGACGGAGAGAAGAGAGAAGGAAAATTGAGATGAAATTGATTAGAGTTTGGATTAAAATTGGACAATTAATATTTAATATTTAAAAATAAAATTTTTGATTTTTGAAAAGTGAAACCTTCAATCTGATTTTTGAAATTGAATCTTTAATTTTGATTTTGTGTAATTTTCCCTTATTTAAACCATCTTTAAGTTTTTTTTTTTTAATCACACATTCGAGGTTTACCTTCTTTCCTGAGTTATTCTTAACGAGTCCTTTGATACGATTTTTGAAAATTCAAAAGTTGTTAATGAAATTAAAAAATTATTTTGAACTTGGATAATTTTTTAAAAGTATTTTATATGATTAGAAGAATTTTTATTGTAATTTTTCATAAAGTTCTTTTATGAAAAATAGAAGAAAAATAAAAATTATATGCCTTAGTGGAACTTGTAACACTTGTTGATCTTTAGACTATACAAATGGCTCGAGTAGACAATCTAATCTATCCAGTCTCTAGAGAACTCGAAGTCTCGAACCACCTTTACACATAATAGAAAATGGCAGCACTACGTTTGCGCCACCTCACTCCATTTCCCCCCTTTATACGTATCACCAAACGGCCCCCTAATTCCTCACATTTACATGCTCTCTCTATCTCTCGCAGTAAAATCGAACGCTTCTCAATCTCAGTAATGGCTTCAGCTGCAAAGAAGGTACTCCTCTGTACTATCAATGTTCAAATGAATTTTGCAGGTTCAATTGCGTGATAATTTAATGATTTGGCTACTGTGTTGTTACCTTTAGGTTTTGGTGCCGGTTGCGAATGGAACGGAGCCGCTGGAGGCTGTGATAACTATTGATGTGTTGAGGAGAGCTGGCGCCGATGTGACTGTGGCTTCGGTGGAGAAACAGCTATGTGTTGATGCTTGTCACGGAGTGAAAATCGTCGGCGATGCCCTTATTTCTGATTGCGCTGATACTGCATATGATCTTATTTCTCTTCCGGTATGCTTTATATATCTAATTATTTTGAGCACTAGTTTTTCTTTTTGTAATTTTCTATGAACTGGAAGTTTTTGACGGATTTCCCTAACAATGAATCGAAATATTATCCGTTTACTAGACTGGCCTGTTCAGGACTGATAAATTGCCAATTTGCTGATAAATGAACTATTTTTATCTGATCTAAATATCTCTATGCAAAAGTAGTTATGCAAAATTCACTAATGATCGGGTACAAGTCTGCTTAACTAATATTGTTTTACTGTCAGCGGGTGAATAATCTGGAATTCATTTTCTTCGCCAAATCAGCATCTGTTGCCACTGTCTGCTAATAATTGCTGAGTAGTTAAGCAAACTTTTATATATGTGTGACCAACAATTGAATGAAGATTGATGAATATGAT